GCATAACAGAAACTTAATCCATAAAACCTTTCTCACTCCATCTTTGTTTGTTGATCTTTTAAGAGCTTGAAATGACTTAAAAGTGAAACTTCATCATACCAAACCCATGCAATACATTTTCAATAAATAAGGTTATGATATGTTTAAAATTTTTTGATTTATTTTAATTTATTATTCAAAAAAAATTTCTTAGCTCCCCCAAGTTTTTCATGTTAATTTACTTTGACAATTATCTTTGCACATCATTAATGTTTTTACTGTCAGCTCTTTGCCATCAACATCTAAAAAAAACGATCCAATCTTTTATAGTGCCTTTGATACAGTAACAGTGATCAATGTTGCACCTACAAAGGTCAATTTATCCATAAAAGCACCAAACTATAAATATCTTTTAGCAGAAACATTTAGATTGAATTACATATATGTGTTCATCCAGATCACAATGAAAATAAAAATAATATTAATATTCATCAGCCCCAAATGCAATTCTTCTATAGTAATGATATTAAATACATACTAATAAGTTATTAGTTTATCACACAAATAGTAAAAGCAACAGATTTCTTAAGCAAAAGACTTTCACTAGCGGTCTCATCTTTTATTTTGCAAATCTATTTATTTTTTTTGGATTCCCTAATTTTTTGTGGCTAAGTCAATATTGAGGTGCTATTTTTATAATAAGAATCCATCAATTTTAATGTCTAGCTCCTACTTAGATATATTTTTATCCTATAAACTTTTTCATATCATTCAGATTTACATACAGTACCAAACAACAAATAATATAAAAAGGAGGAAAGATACAAATCTTAGAATTTCATTGTGATCTCGAAAATTTTACCATGGGAGTGTTGACCATATATTGATTTTGATTATTTAGTGATGTATCTAGACTCTTATCAATATTAACATTATGTAGTTTCATTGAAATAATATGTTTACTTTTTTTTTGAAGTAGTATTTCTGGTTTGATCATCCTAACGATTTCAATATTTCCAAATCTATAGCAAAAAAAGTTAATTTCATTACAAAAAAAATTTTGATCTTGGTTTATCTCTTCAATTATGATCAAAGTGTGCATACAAGAAAGCAACACAAATTTCAATTTTGCGAGACAAGCCTCTTTTCTTGGTAAATGATTCTTCAAAAGGCCAAAATCAAGAACTATAAATGATACTTAATTGATGAAACAAGTTCTCGTGATTATCGCATTAGCCATATCAAAATATATTTTGTAATCTTATGTAGTATTATGATAAAAATCCTTTCATTCTAAGTCATGCTGATTCTTTTATTAACTCCATTTTGTTGAAAGAATGTTAGGTCCATTGTCTTCATAAGAATTCCATTAATAACAAAATAAGTTTTAAACAATATGCCATTATAGTTCCACCACTGTTGGATTATATAATATTTGAGTTTTCTTCACTAGTCTCATTTTCAAGAAAGATTTTCAATCTTACAGAAAATTAAGTATGTCAGATTTATTTTTAATAAAATATTTTATTATGAAGATGCCATATCTCCTTTGGATGAAATGGGAGATGGCTTCCATCATCTATGTGAACAATATCCCACTTCTTAGTTCAAAGTTAACTTTTTTTTTTTTTTTTCAAAAATTGATAATTCCTACCTTTCTTAAAATGCAATTTTAATAAAGGTTATTTTCAAGATATTTAAAATTTAAGAATTTACCTATGAAATGGAGGATCTCTAGATCCTTCTAGCTCATATAGCCTAATCAATGATTCCAAATATTCATCATTGTATTTGAACTCCCATTACTAGACTTATTTCATGGAGCAATCACCTTCGCTCATTTGGACAACTTTTGTCAATATTCAATGTGACATTATATCCATTTTGCTATAAGCTATCCTATCAAATAAAGTTTCACCAAAGGACAAGAACCTACTTTGACCTTATTTAGCCGCTATGTGACTCCATTTACTAATTAAATTATTAGATTAATAATATGCATAATATTTAAAAGCTAATCAACGTTATGAAAAATTTTATTATAATTTTTTTACATTCTCGCTCATCAGTAATTCTTTGTAAGAAGAACAAAAAGATACATCTAGATTGGATATTCATTTTATTCATCAGTAATTCTTTGCTCAATATTTGATTGTCATGGGATTTCAAACCCTCTTTCTGAGTCTATTTGTAACAATAATAAATTATGAGTTTAAGAAAAAAAATTTATTATAGAAGCCCATAAGATATTCATACTCTATTAAAATCAACAGAAAAATCCAACAAACACTTAGAAAGTTAATGAATGATCACTTAAAAAATTTTAAATTAATCACATTTAAAGAAGAGGAGCACTGATATTTTGTGAAGATTATATTATGTATGTTACTCCCATAAGAAGAATTTTCTCAAGGAATGAATTTCTAGTATCAAAGTAAATAAATTTTTGGTCATTTTTTCAAGTTTTAATACCATATAGGTTTTCTAATTGCAAAGAGTAATCAAATTTGACTTGAAAAATGTATAAATCACTAACACTGATAAGCTAAAACTTATCATTGCAACTAATTTTAAAAATTTCAACTTATTCCATCTCACCACTATTTCTATTCAATAATCCTAAATAGTGTCATTTCTAATACAGCAAAAATTTATATTAACGGTCTTGCACTACATTTTTTATGCCCCGCCATCCTTGGTTGCAAACAAAATACAAAACAAAAAAATAATAATAATAATAAAATAAAAGTAAAAAAGCTACATATATACCCGAAATTTTTCCGTGCGGACTCTTGACGTAGCTCTACGTGCGGCGGAGGTTATTCCTGAGTTATTTTCAGTTTATTTCTAAGTTATTTTCAATAATCTTGAAATAACCCAGAAATAATATGCGGTCTATTTTTGGGTTATTTCGGGATTATTGAAAATAACCCATAAATAACCTGAAAATAACTCAGGAATAACATCTGTCGCATGTAGAGCTACCTCAGGAGTCCGCACAGAAAATGAGCTCCATATATACAAGGGCGAAGCTAGAATATTTTTGCCCGCTCTGAGTAAAAAAACTTACAAAAAGAGTTTACTTTAATTTAAAAAATACGCTCAATATTTTCATCTGATCTTATTATCAGCACTAACGATTTTAATTTTTTTTTTTTTGTGTTAAAATATTAACTTATAAATTATAAAAATATGCCAAAAAGTTGCTAAATAGATGCTAAAATAAAATTACAACAAGAGTTTACTTGTAATTTTTCCTTTTATCAACCATGCACTAGGCAAAACAAAATAAATAAGCTATCATTAGTACATTGAGACTAAATCATTCTATAGTATTTTTTTTTAAATAGAACAGATGGTTTTAATTTTTTTTATTAAATATAAGTACAATACATAAAAGATTATTTAAATTTTATATTATAGAAATTTTATAATAAATTCGTGATAATTTGCATTTTTGTTTTCATAATAACCTTAGAAATTATTAGAATTCATTTTAACATAAAATTAATATATAAAAATTTTAATTAAAATTTAAAAATCCTTGGCCAAAGCTTTGCAAAAGAAAAATAATAAAAATAAAATAAAATAAAATAAAAACTTTGTATTTTTTTTAAATACTTGATTATTGAAGCTTCAACATATTTTTGCTCGATTTGTTTATGATCGTCAATAATATTATTTAGAATTTGTGAATATGCTCGTTAAGATGCTCGAATAAAGCTCGATATTGATTTAAAATCCAATAAAATTTTAAATATAATTTAAGTTAAGTGAGATTAAAATTTTAAATATAATTTAAGTTTTAAAATTTTATTTAAAATTAAACTATTTTTTATATTATTAACAAAAAATAATTTTAAAACTAATCAAAAACCTAATAAAAAATTCAGAATATATCTCATAATAAGGCTAGAAACTCCTTTTTATATGTTATAATTTTAATTTATGATTATATATATATGTGTGTGTGAGTGTGTGTGTGTAATAATAATCTTCCTAGAATAGCATTCTAACTAAAAAAATATTACTAAATAAAAAAGTAGAATATATAATATAAACTTTTTACCTAAATATAGACATTCTAATAAAAAAAAAGAAGAAAAATCAGAAAAGAGAGTCGTCATAAGTTCTTGAAAAGCTTTTTACTGCTTGTTTTATGTTCTTTACGATAACTTTTTCTCTGCTTTACTTTCAAGTCGTCTCTAAAGTTATATTTGGGTAACTACTTTTTTGTTGTTTTTTAGAAATTTCTGTGGTAGAAAATTATTTTTTTCAATATAAGCTATTAAAGTGTGGATGCAGTCACAAAATCGCGGTCCGACTTTTTTGTAAATAAAATAAATTTATAATAGCTACTGCGACTTTTTGAAAAATAATTTTTTTTACGGCAGCTTCACAACTGCTTATTCAAATAGCAACATCTGCCCCAAACAAACCATCAGTCCAACATCAAAAAAGTACGAAGGTGTGGATTGATGGGATTTTAATTTCATGTATAAGGCATTTGAAATGAATATAATAAATAATTTGTTTAGATTTAATAAATTATTATTTATTCTAAAAACTTAAATGAAGCTCAAGTTCGAACAAAGGTTTAGCCTGAACACGATAGATCGAGAAAACAAAAATCATTGAAAAAAAAAAAAAAAAACAAACCTACCCAAGAAGTACCCAAGAAGGACGGAGACGGCCACTGCATTCTGGCTGTGAAACAATTCAGAATTTTTGCATATTATAAAAATTAAAATTTATTGTGCTGGGCCGGTGACGGTAAAGGCGCATAGCCCTCGCCCCACATACATATATCTCGTTCTATATAATGATGATGATGATTATTATTACTATAGGTAGCTCTATTCATTTATATTTTTGTTTGAATCCTGCCCCCTCCTCTGTCTAATTATTGCGTGCGCTTTTCACGGTGCGGCTGTGATAAGAGAGCGCCATGAAGAGAGAGTTTGGGGAGAGAGAAGGAGAGGGGGAGAGAGGGGGAGAGGGGGAGAGGGGGAGAGTAAAACCTATGGGAAAATTCCAAGAAGCAAAGATCAGAACAACGCCGAGCGGCTCTGGCACCACCTCGCTAGTGGTCGGAAAGCCAATCAGTGGGACGCTAACCTGCACAAATCCGATCGAAAAAAGGCTATCAGGATAATCCATCATCAAATTTACATTCGTTATCCGGTACCAAATCGCACAGTAGTTGCTAATAACAATAAAAGAATCTCAAACCTTTTCCGGACTCATCCATTTCTTCAGATTTTGCAGAGCATAATCCACCGACTTAATTAAAAATCCAGCCTAAATAAAAAACAGAAGAAGAAATCACTATCACTCACAAGCGAACGAAAATAGGGCGGGGGAAGAAGAAGGATCTGAGATAGTAAAAATGAAATGGGGGTAAGTAAGGTTGAAGAAGAGGATGAGACAAACCTCATCGCGGTAAGCTTCGACGCGGTGTTTTCCGAGGTCGAGGTTTAAGGTTTCACAAATGGCGGTCTCCATTTCATGGAGGAGATCTTTAAGAGCTCTGAGCTGTGATCTCCTCCAAAAGTAACTCCTCGTTCCCCCGCTCTCAAAAGCCTCTCTCGCCTCCTGCACAACTCTTTCCAAATCCATCGCCATTTTTCTTCTTCTATGCTTCGAATCTCTCGACTCTTTGCTCTTTCAGCTTCCACAGATGATGATTTCGGTTGATTAAGGGTTTACTCCTTTGATCCGGCGTGATTTGCATTTAAATAGAACAGTAGGAAGTACGGACCAAGAAAGACAATAAAAATGATCATATCTTATGCGTTGTTGTGCGATTGAAAATTTAAGTAAATATATGTTAAATAACACTACTTAAAATATTTAATAAATAACAGATAACTACCTTATTCAGTGCATATTCTGTCAAGACTTTTAACATAATATAGAAAATTATTCAGAGTCTAATGAAATCACGACACGTGACGGTGACAGAAAAAAAATAAAAATCGACCGGATAACACAGGAATATCCCCCTTGTGTTATTCCGTGTTATTCAAGTATTATTGTATGTTATTTATGTGTTATTGTGTTTTGCGAATATTTATGGTATTATAATAAAAAAATAACACATCAATAACACTTGTAACACAGGAGGAATGTTCCTTTGTGTTACTAGGAATATTTTATTTTTTTTTCTATCACCGCCAGGTGATGTGATTTTATTGGACTCCGAACATAGTTCTACGTTAGGAGTCCTGATATAATGCTTTTCCATTCAACAATAGGCTTCCTGAAGTTTAATATTTTATTGGGGAAAATTACATTTATTATTTATATATTTCACATTTAAACTATCATTTTTACATGTATAGTACTTTACCTATTAATGAAATAATAGATTTAATTATTTAAAAGAGATAATAAGTATTACTTTTTATATGATATTTGCAATTATGATGTGAGATGATTAAATATGAAAATTTTGAGTGCTGTGTATTTAAATCCCTTATTTTTTTTAAGAGAAACCGAACACCGAAATATGAATTCCTAAAAATTAATTTAATATTAATGAAAATAAATCTAAAGATTTCAACATTTTTATCAATTAATTTAATTGATGGTGAGTATTTTTTATTATTTGTTGATTATTTAAATTTACACAGGGTTGGTGTAGCTCTAGTGGTAGACAAAATTAGAGAGAGTCGACTTAGATAGTTTGGTCAATTAAACATCGACTTTCTAATGATTCGGTTAGGAGAGTAGATGTTTTGGATTCTCTTATGTTAATAAAGACAGATGTAGGCATATTGGATAAAAAATGATCCTAATTTAATAGAATTAAGTGAAAATATGACACTCAATAGGAGACAATTGAGAAAAAGGATACATGCAACCGACCTCACTTAGTGAGATAATATGCTTCAAATTTATTTAATCATTGGGGGCATTTACATACATATCACCCAATTCTTATGTATTTACATACTTAGTACCTAAACTTTATTTTCTTATATTTATACCGCCCAATATTTCATATCATCTAAAACATATCCTTATTTTAACTTTTAAATATTTCATATGCCATCAACAAATTTTCAACATTCAACATAAATCTCAAGGCATGACATAGATCTCGAAGTAATCTTTTGAGGAAAACAAGCGTTCAAATTTCAATCAAAAGTCGCCCAGAACTTCGATTTTAGCAAACTGACCAACTTGACATGACAGACCCAGTGATACCAAAATTGATCTCGTTCGAGTCAAATCAAGCCCGATTAAGCTATTAAACCACTTTTGGAAGATTTCTAAGAATGATTGGAAAGTCAAACATATGTCGAATTTAACGAGCTTATAATCTAATTGAGCATCTCAATAAGACGAATCTAACGAGCCAAAGATCACTGAATTCCAACATTGTTAAGGTACTTAAATTCTCACAAACACCATTACACCATCTGATAAAGGGAATCTTTCTGGGTCGTCTGATCAAAATAGTTCATAATCTTTCATTAATTACAACTAGGACTTTAAAAATAGAGTCTTGCCCCTCTCATGAAGGGGGAAGTGGAGGGAGCTTGAAGCCTGAAGTAGACTGAAGCATAGGGAATGAGTTGAAATCTAGTATCACCTTGTCATTGACCACTAGTTGTCAATCACAACTGACCACCATTTCTCGGCTTCAACCAATTATCGTCGACTACCGCCCACTTATTACAAAAAGTTCGTTCATGCACCAATGCCCAATGGTGTAACGCAAGGGATTGTGTGACTCTTTCCCGCCTGTGAGACAAAATGTTATAACTATAATAACCAAGTTATAATAGATCTCTTCAATTGATTTTTTTGTTTATAGGTTTTCCGCGTAAAAACTTTTGGTGTCTCTACTGGTTATTTTCTTTTCATTGAGTGTTTTGAATTTTTTTTGCAATGTCAAGATGATAATCTATTACTCTATCGCTGCGAATATTCTAGCACTCATTAGTTTGACACCTTATGCGGGAAGCGAAGTCTCGTTCGGTATTGCCTTGAACTTTGAGACATTGAGCCCCTAATTCATTTTTTAATGATGTGCATCATCCAACTGGCAAAGAAACCTCCTTTGAATCTTGAAGATTGTATACGAAGCATTTTTTTTATGTGTGGAGGAACCTTCTCTGCAATCTTGAAAGGTTGTTCGCGTCAACGTCAGAGGCACGATTTTAGTGGGGCAATCTTTTCACATCCTATTTAAACACAGTCTTTCACAAATTCTTCCATACTAGGGCAATCTTCACTGCAGTCTTAAAAGGCCATTCACTTTAACGCCTTGGGCGCGACTATGATAGGTAGGCATCCCACATTTTAATCGATAATAAGTCTTTAAGAAGCGTTCATTGATTAGAGACATTCTTTATCGCAAATAACACTTCTGTAGTGCCCTCTTATTGTACTAAAGCTCATTTTTAACTGAATAAGGAAGCTGATCTTTCGAGTCTCAATACATGGGCTCCTTTATAAGCTCGTGTGAAAAATACCACCGCTGGTAGGCAAAAGATTCAGAAGTAGTAACTAACAAGTTGTCAAACATTACTGTTGAGTATGGCTACAACCATATTTTTCAAGTAAACTTACAATCCATTGCAACCCATGGCTAGTATCGAGAAATGCAAGAGCATCTTTGAATCCTTATTTTAGCCTTAATTGATCCCAAAAGAACTTGATTCTTCCTCTTCCATCATAGGCTTGTTGGCATCAATTTTTTGATGGCACAAGAGTAAGATGCCCACATGAGCGTTATGGGGCCATATTATGCCCATGTGTAGGTCCCCGTGACTCAAGACATCCATTTGGGCTCTCTAATAAATATTTAGGGCATGAAACTAGGGTTAGATTGGGCACACCAACATCCAAAATTAGGCACACCTGTGTCAGAAGTGGCTTGTTTGGGCGAAGCAAACAAAGAGCTTGGCGCACGCGTGTTAGGGTTTGGGCGCACCAGTGTCGGAATAGGCACACTTACACTGAAAAGCTAACGCACCCATGTTAGTTCAAAGAGAAGTGAGGGAACCCCATGCTGGAAGTCTATCACACTTGCACTAGTTCAGGGAAAATTGCAGGTGCACCTATGTCGGAAGTCTGGCGCACCAGGACCAAACTCTAGATAACTCAGCTGATTTTGTTAGCTTTTGTCCCCCACTTGGCCATTTGAGTTGTCATTGAACATGAGATGAAAGTTAGGGGTCTATTAAGGTTCCCCCATGTTAGTATGCCTACCCTAACGAACAATGGGAGAGGTCTTATGTGGATTAAATCTTAATTTTTCTATGGATTTTGGAGGGAAAAATACACCAGTAGGTAGCCAGAGGAGGGGATGTTGAGGGGATCCAAATTTTATTTGTTGGGAGGGTTCTTTTTAGTTGAGGAGAGCATCTAAGAGAGATCTATGAGTGTGGAGAAAATTTCCTTCGAGAAAAAGTATTCTTATTCCCTCTTTCTCCATTTTCCTTTAATAGTCTCCTACTCTTCTTCACTTCATCCTTCCACTCATTTCTTCTTGAGAGTGCGAGAGAGTGAGGGTAGTTGGAGGACTTCTTTTATACAAAGAACGCTCCATCCACTCTCAGGAGAATGTATAAACAATATTCATCTCAACACCGAGAAAAACACGGACAAATAAAGAAAACACTTCCGTAAACATCGCGTAGATGAGAACATTATTAACCTTGATTTTTATCATTTCTTTAGCAAAGCCTTAGGATATGTGTAAAAGAACTAAGTTAGGCTAGTTGTTAGAGGTATTTTAGGTAGGTTTTGGCCTTCCTTTTGTCCCCCTACGATCCTTGAGTGCTTATCTCCTTAAGCTTTAGCTAATATCAAAAAGTATGTGATTTTAGTAATCCAACATTTGGTTTGGTTGCTCCATCTATTTTATTGGTCGGATAAAGCCTTGATAAAGCTAAGAGAACAAAATTCATTCGTGTTATTTCATTCTCTAGGACAATAGAGGTTTCAACCATAGAGAAACACTCATTTTATGAGGGATTTTCTTCATGGAAGACCCCTCAATATGAAGACAAATCAACCAGAGATGGGCTTAGTCATTGCTTTGCACAATAACAGGTTGGTACATCTCTCCATAAAACCATAGAATCATTGATGAGGCCGTTAGAGAAATGAATTGATATTAAACTTGCTTAGGTTCATTCATTTGTGCATTAGCATTTGCATTTTTTATGTGTGTCAAGCTTGTAGCTTGCTTCGTGTGTGTTAAGCTCACATAGGAAAAATCATGTGTGCATTAGCATTTCCATTTTTATGTGTGATATGCTTGTTTCTTGTGTATTTTAGCTTGCTAACAGATTGGTTTTCAAAATCAAGCAAAAATAAGTGTTTTATGTTTAATGAAGGTGGTTATGATATTCAAAGCAATACTAGCATGATTATTGCAATGACAAGATGTTTATCTTTCCATTTTGCTCATGCTTGGAATGTTAGGTGCTTAATGCATATTTTTCGTGCCCTTTGATTAAATGTATGTGCATGGTTGGGATTTGTTGCTGTTTGCATCTTCACACAAGCATTGCATGAAAAATGATTTTTGGGCTTAATGTTTAAATCATTGTACAAAGTTATGTTTGCTTGATGATTTATTCCTAAATAAACATTGCATGAAAAATTAATTTTGTAAGCTTGATGCTTAAATTATTATGATTGAAATAATCATCTCTTTACTTGAGTCCATGTCCATGCATCAAAAATTCTTTTTTTGGATTCTAGCTTAATTTTCTATGCATGAAAATTACACTTTTGAGCTTAATGCTAAGAT